TAGCTGGCCCTTGAACAGCCCCACTGGACCGAACGGGTCCCTGCCCTGAGCTAAGATTAGCGCAGGTTCCAGCCCGGGATGCAGCCTGTGACCCTCCCATCCGGGGGCTCCGATGGGTGAGTCTTTCGCTCGCATCGAGGCTTGAAGGAGGCTAGGCGAGACCTGTTCTGCTTTCGCCCTCCTCCGGTGTTGAAATTCATGTCTGACTCACTTCACCCAGCCTCCAGCTGCCTGGCACCCTTTTCCTCTTTGCACCCTGCGCCCTTTCCGCCTCCCCTCCTCTGCCTCCGAAGCCTTCCCCTCCCGCTCTCTCTTTTCCTTCTTTCTTGATATGCACAGAATCGCTGGGCGCGATGGGATCGTGCGCGGGGCGCTACCAGGTCCGCAGCCGTGCGGCGCTGAGCGCTCGTCTCCGAACAGCGGAGAGGGAGCGCAGGGAGGCAGGAGGAGAGGGAGGCAGCGAGCGAGAGAGATGGGGAAAAGTTTCCAATCCATTAACAAAGGAGGGAAGAAAGTTGAGCAGAACACAGCCGCACAGATTAAAAGTGGAAGGCGCCAAGCCGCGCCAAGCCAGCGGAAATCCAACACTTCCCCCATGCGGCCGAGCGTGGGTACTGCCGGGCTGCCGGGCACCGGAGCTCCGTTCCGAGGGGAACTGGGGAGGATGCAGCCGCAGCAGCAGCAGCAGCAGCAGAGGCGGGAATCCGCCGGGCCGAGGAGGGATGCGGGGTCGCGGCTGTCCTCCGGGCGCGCACCCGTCTGCTATGAGGCAGCACGAGTCTGCTGGATGCGCAGCTCGGAAACGAGAAGAACAGGTGAGGCCTTTCATCGCTCAGGGAATTTGGCGCTGCTTTCTGCTTGCAGCCCTCTCGTGTTTTCCCACTGCCCCACCTGGTGTTCCGTTTTCTTCCTTTCCCGCTGCAGCAAACCTGTTGAGGAGAAAAAGGCGGAACGGTTGCAGGAGCCCCTGAGCGCTCCAGACACTAAGCGCTCCGACGGGCAGCTGGAAGGAGCCAGAAAGAAAGGGGCGAAGGGACGGGAAGAACAGAAGGTAGCGAAGGGAGGAGGAGGAGATGAAGAAAAATCAGAAGGACGGACAGATGGATGGAAGGGGGAGCGTGTGTGGGAGGGAGGGAGGAAATAAAGAGAAGGACAGGGAGGCGGAAAATGAGAACGGAATAGAAGAGAGAATGAGAGATGGGAAGAAGGAAGGGAAGATGTGGATGAGGAAGGGATAGAAGGAAAGGAGGAGGGGGGAATGGAAGGAAGGAAATATGAGAATGAAGGACATCACCCTGCGTAAGAAGCCCATATATGTGGGAGAAGGAATTCAAGGAGAGTTCTTGGCAATGGAGGGTTGCCATGAGATGAAAGGTGGGAGAGGAAGGCACAGAACCCCAAAAGTCCGGACATTAAATCCCCATCCTGGTGGCTATCCTGTCTCTGTGCTGCCCGATAGCTGAAGTTCCCCAGGCAACTTCAGGCCATTGCCATAACAGCGATGATGCTGTTGATGTAACAAGAGGCAAACGCGGGTTTTTAATTAACTTTCCTTGCAGCTGCAGCGCCTCTCCCGTGTGCCCAGGCAACAGGGCCTTTGCCCCAGGGTGGGCATTCAGTGCCTGGAGCTTCGCCCCGCCTGCTGCTGGTCAGCCTTCAGCCAAAAAGAAGCCAGACCCTGCAGCCGACACCCGATTGGCCCCTCCCTGGCTGGCCACTGATGACCAGTACGGGCAGCAGAACCTTGTTGCCACAGTAACCCCGGCTGGACCTTCCTCGCCTCTCTCCGCCAGGTAACGCTTCCGATCCTCCCCCTCCCCCACCCGAGACTTTTCTGCTCTTGCAGAGCTTGCGAAGACACCCCTTAGGACAGAGGGAGGGGCCAACTCAGGCCAAAACGTGGCCTGGCACAGGTGCCCCCTCTTGGGTGGTGTATCCACTCCCGCTCCCAGTCTCCACTGTAAAGGCCCAACCCATGGGGCCGAACTCGCCTGGGGACAGGGCTCAACACCAGGCGGCTCCTTAGGGTTCAGGCGGGACCCTGGGCTGGGGATGCCTCATCAGGACACCCGCCTCCACTGGGTGTCAGACCGTTTGTTTCAGGGCTGGAGGCAAGGCTGAGGGTTCTTGGGGGGCCATGTCAGGCACAGGAGGGGCCAAGTCCCCCGATGTGCTGCCCGTCGCAGTGCTGCCTGCTGCGAACCCGCCTCCGGCACATGGCGCCCCTTCCAACAGGCTCGCTCCCGGGGGCCTTCTTCGCAGCTCTGCTCCGCTCTGGCCAGCTCCAGGCCACGGCTGCCTTGGCGGACCGGATCCGCCTCCCAGCCGGCCTTCCTCTCCTCCTGCCTTTGCCGCTCGCTGGCAGGACCGCCTTCCCAGGCCGCACGAGGGCCGCGGCGTCACTGCTGCCGCCAGGGCCAGCTCCGGCCTGACTGCACCACCCGTGTTCACAACACTCTCGGCTCAGGGTGTTCACACCCATCCGCTTCCTGCCCGCTTTCTCCACGGCTCAGCTTTTGCGCCCTGAGTGACCCGGGAGGTCTTTAAAGGCGTCCGCAAAAAGGGTGTCGTAACCTGGTGCCAAAAAGATGGCAAGCTCGGTGCCAGGCGGGCTGCAGCAGGGAGTGTGTTCCAGAGGTGGGGCCACCACAGAAAAGGCCCTCTGCTAGTTGCCACCCTCCACATCTCGCCAGGGCTTGGCACCCAGCGGAAGGCCCTGGAGGTTCAGCACAGTGTCCAGCTAGATCAGATGTTGCTGAGAGCCAGACAAGGGGCCGGACTAGAGACCCGAGTTCGAGTGCTGACTCAGCCAGGAGGCTTGTGAGGCCCCCACACCCTGCAGGCCCTCGCTGAGGATAAAATGGAGGCGGGGATGGAAGGACGTGAGACACCCACATTCTCCGCCTGGAAATCCGGCAACCAAGCCTGCAATAACCATGAACAGAACACTGATTCCACTTTTCACTGATCACTTGGGGAAATACTTCTGTTTGCTGCTTGGCAGAGTACGGGTACCTCCCCCCCACACCTGACCTACACCTGTTGCAGTAGTTATCATGTATTTTAATGCCTATCTTAACCTACTTCAAGATATTTGATTTTCTTGGTGGAGATATCTTTAAATATGGTCAGCACTATATGCATCTATTAATGCTGATGATTAAAATATTACATCTATCAACTTTGCCCAGTCCATTTTTCACCTTGGAGTAATATTTTGTAATGCTACTGCACACTCCGTTTGTTCTTTTGTCATGATGATGCTGTAATGGTTTTAACTGGTTTTCATTAAGGATTGACAGAAATGTTGTAATAATTGTGTGTTTGATGCATATTTTAAGTCCTTTAGGGCATGTTTGGACAGAGAAGTCCTGGAAGTGCAATGCTGCGGGTTAGAAGACTTTCTTTTATGTAAACTTGCATAGGTTGTGCACTTAATTTATATAATTTTCCTGAAAACTGCTTATGTATATTTTTAAACAGGGTCAGCAGGATAAGTAAACCAGAGATTCTATCAGCCACCTATTTAGACCCGGCCGGTCCAATCTCTGAGAACAGGACAGCACAACATGGTGCTGCTGAGTTGACCTGTTTGCCCTTATGGTTCTGAACTGGTTTTTGCTGGTTTTGATGCATGCTTGGTGGAACTGCTGTAGCCATTACTATGCATTTTAACGTAGATGCAAAGGCCACTGCGGGTGCCACCCGATGGGCCCGAGACACAGTCTGGATCGCGGCAGGAGAACTCGGAGTCTCCGCTATGAGCTTGGAAGGGCTCTCCAAGGTCCCGCACCGGCCACAGCTCCAGAGCTGGAAAAGCGCCCCGGAGGTGGTGCTGGGGAGCGCTCTGGGGGAGCTGTGAGGCTTTGGCATATGTTGAATCAGGACCAGTGGGCTAGAAACCTATTAAATCATCAGCAGCAAAGGGTTTCCCGCACATTCCTCAGCCAGCCTCTCTTTCTACCCTGTCCGTACAGAGGAGCATCAAATGCGGTCACTGGCATACACCTCGATTAAATAAAGCAACATTCTACCGGCCCCCATCAGTCTGTCCAGCTGGCCACTTAACCCTTCAGCGCAGGTGCGTTAACAAGGTGCGCGCTTTCCAAATCTATGAAGTAACCAAGCCGGTACTTTTCCGGCCTTTCCTCTCTTCCTCCAGCGACCCACCCGCTCCTTCAGCAGAGCGCGGCGCGGAAGATGAGCGATCCAAACCTACGCAAGGCACGGATGGGGGGGGTCAAGGCGTGACCCCCCCGTGCCATCTCTTCACCTTGGCGGGAAGCCAACCGGTGCGACCGAGGCGTGGCCTCGCCCCCCCCCCCCGTCCTCCGCGTACTCCCGGCCACCTCTGCTCGTAGCCGGGTGAGCTCTTCCGCCACAGGGAACGAGGAGGGGGCTCCCCGCCCCCGCCCCACACCCGGCGTGGGACGGCCCGTCTTGAGCGCTGCGCCGGAGCAACACCCCCGTGCGCTCGCCTCTCCCCGCCGCGGCGCGTCGCTGCCAGCCGCGCTATGTAAGGAAATGGCGTGCGCGGGGCGGAGACTGCCCGGGCCAATGCGCGGGGCGGGGAGCCGCGGCCGGCCGAGGAGGCGGAGGCGCTCCGGCGCGGAGAGGGGCGCGGCGGCGGCGGCGGCGGCGGCGGATCCCGGCCTGCCAGCCCCGGGCGCCCCGGCTTTTGTCCCCCTGCTGCGCGCCCCCGAGCGCCCCTCTGGCTGGCGCGGCGCGGCGCGGAGCCGGTGAGTTGACGCGGGCGAGCGCGACGCGGCCGGAACGCGTCCCCACGTGGCGCGCGGGCGCGGAGGCAGGTGCGGGGGGAGGCGGGCGTCCCCCGTCCTGCAGTGGGGAGGAGACCCCGGTTGGCCCTGCAGCCCCCATCTCCCTCCCCGGCCCTCTCCCACCCCGCAAAAGCCCATGGAAGAGGAGGGGGGTTCTCCTTTCTTTAAAGTGGGGGAGTAAAGCCCCCCCCAGAAGCCCGAGGAAGAGAGCGGCCCCCTCCCTTGTTTTGAAACGCGGAAGACCCCTTTCTGAAGGCTAATGGAAAAAAAGGAGCAGTCTCTCCTTTGTTCTGAAGTGCTGGTGAAGTCCCCCCGCCCTCCCCCACCAGTTGCTTCCATTACAGGGGTTCAGACTTAGCCTGACACCCCAAATCTCTCCATGAGGCGCAAGCATACACATGCAGACACACTTGCTATACCCCATGGAGAGCCAGGTTTAATGTGAGAATCCCAAATACGGCTCATCAAAAGCATCTGTGTTCCTGAGCATGGGCAGAGTGACTCATCCTCTCCACCCCTGTTCCAGGCTGTGATGGCACTTGGGATAGCATTAAACTCACTTTCCTCTTAGCTTATAGACCTGCTGGATTCTAACTGCTTCCTGGAGCACTGTTCATGCAGGCTGGGGGATCATGGGAACTGAAGTCCTGCACATCTGGGTGGCACCAGGTTGGAGAGGGGAGGTCTCAGTCACTGTGTGTTAGTGGGGGCAAACCAAAGAAGTCCTTTTCTTGCAGGTACCTGGTGTTTTCAGCTGCTTGGAAATCCCTTTAATCAACCATCTTGATGTGCGAATGAATATAATAGAATCTCTAATCTCTAGCTAGCTGGGAATGCTGGGAGTTGTAGGAATTTTTCCCATCTAAACAGGCATAGAATGGTACCCACACTGGTTCACATATGGAAATAGTTCATATTTCAGAATCTTTCTTCCTGAACTATTCTGACTGCAAAACATGGAAGGATGGATAGATAATCTGGAAGCAGTAACAGGGATCTGTACCTGTGAGGCCTGGGTCTCTATACAAAGGTATATAATCCTGGCAGTGGGACAGTGTCAGCATCTACTGAGTGGTTAAGAGGGATTGGGGCTCAAAGTTAGCCTTCTGTCACTCCCCCACCCAGTTTTTGTTTGTGAAAGGTGACTGTACTGCTATAAAACACATCTTCACTTGCACTATAAACCAGTTCCAGATAGGCATTTCCCCCCCAGTGGCTGATGGCACCGGATGAGAACATGCAGCCTGTCTAAGTTTCTAGTCCTCAGCTGCCAAAACATTCTGTTCTTCCGTCAAGCATCCTTGACCCAGCCAGCTTGGGAGGGTTGCGGCTTCTGGCCCAGCAGGTGGATTTGCAATTTGTGAGTAGTTCCGAGCTGGCATGCAATTAGACCGGCCGGAGAGCCAGTTTGCAGTCGGAAGCATGACTGGCTGGTCTGCCTTGGACCGGCAGTGCCCCTCAGAGCCGGCGGAAGAGCCTCTCCATGGATCTGCCGGGCCACCAGACAGAGAGAACCTGGAGCAGCCCTCTCCTCCTCCCCCTCCTCCCGAGCCCATTATTCTGGCCGGGCGCCGGCCGTCGCTCTGTGTGCGCGCAGTGGTGTGACGCGCTCCTGTGCTTGGGCCGAGGGGGCGCTCCTGAATAAGCAGTGCGTATATATAGCCCGTCTCTCCTGTCAGACGCCCCTTCTGGCTTAGAGCCCCGCCAGCTTTTCTTTTACGCTGACACCTTTTTTCCACGCAGCCGGCTTCGCTTTTTTCCTACTGCCAATTATTTCTATTTTAATGCCGCTGGATATTTCTCAGGTGCTGCCAGATTTTGTTTTCAGCACATTTGTGCCAGCTTCTGCAGCTGGATGCCTTCCAGCTCAGTCGGCCTGCAAGCCCCATCCATGGGGATGATGGGAGCTGGAGCCCAGCTCATCTCGAGGGCTCCAGTGTGCCGAAAGCCGCCCCAGCACTTCCTAAACACCTACTTTGGGGAGGGCTGCATGGTTTGCCCAGCCTTACTCTCAAACGAGTTTCAGTCTGAGCGTTCCCAAGCTGGGGCTGCCAGAATTTCAAACTACAATTGTTAGCGCCCTCGTATCACAAGGCCCTTGGGTCTGCTGGCTTGGCATGATGGCAGCTGTAGTCCAAAACGCCTCTAGGGCACCAGGTGGGGGAATTCTGCGCTCGCTCATGAACTTGTTTGGTCTTGGCAGGACTTCCCTCAATGAAATAATCCCTAGCCAGTCGGTGCGCTGGGCTGCCATCGGAGACACGCTTCCCCTCTCTTCTCGCTTGAGACATTGCGCCCCTGCGGCCCCGTTTTGCTGTGGCCCAGGAAAAGCGCCACCATGGCAAGCGACGTCGTGGAGGATGAGCTGGAATTCTACTCTAAGGCCGAGAAATACTGGAGGGACGTCCCGCCCACGGTGGACGGGATGCTGGGTGGCTACGGGCACATCTCGAGCATCGACATCAGCAGCTCCCGGAAGTTTCTGCTTCGGTTCCTGCGGGTGAGCAAGGGTCGTCCAGAGCCCAGGAGCCAGGAATGTGGGGCAGCTTTCTTTAAGGGCCGAGGGAGAGCCCTGAGGCTGGTTCCACCCCAGTGCCCCGAGAGGCCCTCAGTCAGGGCAAGAGCCTTGCACAGGTGTGGAGTTTATGCTCTTCCTTGGTTTGACAGCTCCTTTTTGGAAAGAGATTCCCGTTAAGTCCCATTTATTGGAATGGGTCCACTCTCAGGACTTGGAAGTTCATTAGGCAAACAATTATGTCACTGTTCTCCTGAAATAAGGGTCGAGGTAATGCTGCTTCTTGAAAAGGAAGGAACAGCGTGTGAGCAGGGCCTTCTGGGCAGTGGCACCCACCTCGGAAACGCCCTGCCTGCATGGTGCAGAGGTGGGGGGGGGGGACTAGGGCATCCTGGAAGACCCATTTGCCTGTTCAGGTTTTCCCTGCCTTACAATGGACTAGGTTCTTGCTCGGTTCTTGTTTCTGTTGTAACGCTCTGATTGGTTGATTTTGATTTCTGTGGGTTGTGCCTAGTTTTTATATTTAAGTTTAGATGTGTGGTGGAATACTTTTAGGGCATTAGGTGTTAAAACGCAGTATACAGAAAACAAAAAGCTAAGCTTTCTTCAAGGTTCCGCCCTCATTGACCATTTCCATTCAGGACGGACCGGCCAGAACCGGAACCAGCCGCGCACTGGACTGCGGGGCTGGCATTGGCCGGATCACCAAGCGCCTCCTGCTGCCCCTGTTCAAGGAAGTGGACCTGGTGGATGTGACGGAGGACTTTCTGAGCAAGGCCAGGTCCTACCTGGGCGAAGAGGGCCGGCGTGTGAGGAACTTTTTCTGTTGCGGCTTGCAGGACTTCAGCCCCGAGCCCAGCGCTTACGACGTCATCTGGATCCAGTGGGTGATAGGTGAGTGCCGGAGCAAGGGTCGGGGTTTGGAGTGGCCTGGAGCTGCCCGGTCGTTGCTGGGCGTCCCCGCGTGGTGTGAAGCCTGCCAGCTCAGCGCACGCTTTCTCGGCCGGCGGGGCTGGGAGGAAAGAGGCTGCAGTGTCCCCGCCGGTTCCCTCTGCCTCGGTCGCCTGGCCAAGCGCGAGGCAGGGCGAGCAGCGTCCAAGGGGCTGGCCGGGGGCAAGCGGCTCTGCTTCCCACCGTCCTTCCAGGGGGCTGAGAACTGTGCACAGACCTTGCCAAGTCAGCTACGGGGGGGGGGCGCTGGGGTGCCCCCCGGCCGTTCTGAGGCTGGTGGGCACAGCTAAATGTTGAGGGCGCGATGGGGCGCTCTCACTGGATGGCACGCCTGGCCAGCCACGGAGGCGGCTGGTGGAGCTGGGCGAAAAGTCCTTGGCTGGGAAGCGTGCAGGTGAAGCGCCTTGGCAGCAGGATAGTCCCCCACCTGATCGCCCTGGTGACGGATTTTGAGAGGCTCGGACAGGCAGACGAAAATCAAGAGGCAGGAAGCCTGGTGGAAGCCAGGAGGGGGGTCTGGACGTCAGGGCATTCAGGGCACCCGGCGTGGACCCGGATGGGCGACTGCACCGTCTCTGACCCCACCCGGCCAGGGGGTCATTTCTCAGCATCCCCCTCCTCCCCCCTTTCCCCGAACAGGACACCTCACAGACGACCACCTCGCCAGCTTCCTGAAGAGGTGCCGGCTGGGGCTGCGGCCTCACGGGATCATCGTCATCAAGGACAACATGGCGCAGGAGGGGGTCATCATGGATGACGTGGACAGCAGCGTCTGCCGGGACCTGGACGTCGTCCGCAAGATCATCCGGCATGCCGGCCTCCATCTCCTTGCCCAGGAGAAGCAAGAGAACTTCCCGGACGAGATCTACCACGTCTACACGCTGGCCATGAGATGAGCCCTGGAGCCCGGGGGGATGGCTCTCTCGGAGGCGTCGCCGGGCCGGCTCCGGGGATGGAGGGCCAGGGCGGAGCGAGCCAAGGAGACGGTGCAGAAACCGGAGGGCATTGCGGGGATCATGGTGCAGATCCGCGGTCTGGGGCAGGGGAAGTAAACGCGAGCCGTGCCTGGCCTCCCGAGCTGCTGCTGTCGTGTTTCTTGTCAGAGGAAAACCCACCAAATACACTTTGTATGTTTGCAGGGTTTCTTGCCATGGCTTTGAATTATGTTTCCTTCCCGTGATGGCCCAGCTTCCATCTCTGCCCAAGGGATGGATGCTCCGTGAAAAGTACCTTGCCAGGGATACAAGCCGGGCTGCAAAAAGTGGGCTGTGCTGGCTGCCTGTTAAAAGCCTACAATTCCCACAATCCCTTGCCATTACCTGTGCTGCCTGGGGGTGATGGGAGTTGGAGGCCAAAATGTGGCCTGGATGAACCAGGCAACATCTCTGTTGGGCTTTTCCCTGGGGAAAAAAACCCAACCTACTAGGAAGTTCACGAGGCCTGTGTTTCTCCTGCAGCCCCAACATTTTCCTTCCGTCCGTCCGTCCGTCCTTCCCTCCCTCCCTCCCTCCTTCCTTCCTTCCAAACATTTCTATCCCATCCGATGCACAAGTCTCAGGATGGCATTTTAAAACACTGCCTTTTAGAAGGGCTTCCTCTTTTTTTAAAAAGGGCCACTGGGCGCAAGGCAAAGCACCTGCTGCAAAGCGCTAACCTCTCTCTCTGGCTAATCCGGCCGGCGTCACATACAGAGGCGGAACAGCTTAAGTGGTGCAGACACATCGCTTTAATGGCTCTAGAGGCACTGTTGTTGGGGCCCCTCTATCCTGGAATGCCGGCGCGGTCGCCAGACAATAGCGAGGAGCGTCCCGAACGGCGTGCTCAGCTTCCACGGAGGCTGGCCCGAATTCCTTTTGGTCACAGCTCTGCCGCAGCTCTCCCCGCTCAGCCGTTCCGCTTCCGATGACTTAGACCCAGAACCCAGCCCCTCCAAAGAGGTCCCTGTCCTCGGAGCGACACATTTCCACATGCCGTGTGGTGCAGCCTCTTCAAGACTCACCAGCAGAAGCGTCCATGCACAGGGCGAGATGATTTGGGGGATGACGCCTCGGACGGGGGACGAGGCCAAGCAGAGGCCGAGCCTGGTGGGCAGTCGTGTCCTGGAACTGCCGTCCAGTCCCTGCCCGGCTCACGCGTCCTCTTCTGCGGAGCTGCTCTGGTCGAGGAGGAGAAACCTCTTCAGCCTGTCGGGCAGTGGCAGCGCCTCCACCTTCTGCTCCACTGGCCAGGGCCGGAGGCGCCGCCGCAGGTAGACGCGGCACAGGTGCTTCAGGGTGGCCGGGGAGCGCTCCAGCTGCTTCAAGGAGGCGAAGAGGGCCCGGATCTTCTCCCCGTGGAACCGGCAGCTGCTCAGGTCGACCTCGAAGTTGCTGGGCAGCCGGACGGTGGGCGAGCTGGCCGCCATGAGCTCCAGCGCCGTCTCAGCCTTCTGCAGGAGGTCCGCCGAGAAGCTGTCCTTGGCGGACTCGCTGAGATGGGCGCAGAGCTGCTCAAAGACGACGTGGACGCCCGACCAGCATGAGGGGCCATGCATGGAGCAGTTGTAGGAGGCCCCCGACTCCAGCAGGAAGCGCAGGAGCGGGAAGTGGAGCCGGAAGTTCTTGAGGCAGAGGTGCGTGAGGGACTCGTAGGACGGGCACTCGCTGGGGTCGGCCCCGTGGGCCATCAGCAGGCGCGTGACCTGGAAGCAGAAGTGGTGAATCATCTTGGCCTCTTCCGGGTCGCCGCCCACGGTCTCCCCAAGCAGGAAGATGATGAAGCTGAAGGCCGTGTCGCCGTCCTTCGTGCTGGCTCTGGCATCCGCTCCTGCGGGCGAGGGACAGAATGGCGGGGCTCTGAACCGGCCGGGGCGCTGCAGCCCCTCACCAAAGCGGCCGCCCAGCCTTGGGCCGGCGACGGCCCTTCCGGCTTTCGTGGGTGGGGATGCAAGGCGGCCGCCGAGTCGGCAGACTCGGGGGCCCGTTGGTGATGAGCACCGAGGGGGTCTCAGCTGCATTCCCGTCCACGCCCGGATACTGCTCACGGCACAGAACTTCGGTGGCCCAGCAAGGGAGCATCAAGAGGGGGCGGGGGCGCTCACCTCCTTCCAACAAAAGGCGAATGTTTTCTGTGTTGTGGATCTGCACCCCGTCGCTGCTGGCCAGGGCATGCAGCAAGGCAGTCTTGCCTAGGGAGAAAAGGCGGGACGCATCAGGGCTTCCCGGGAGGCCTATCGGAAGACTGAAAGGCCCCCTCCCCATATTTCCATCAGTAACAGGCCCCCCTCAGCCTGCAGCTGCTCTCTTCGTGGCTCACCAGACTGGCCTACTTTTCCTGACACAATCCCGAGGGAGGGGTCGAAGCACCCCCACCCCCCCACTCCAACATACTCTGGTAAAAGTGATCTGGAGGTATGTCAGGTGTGTGTGTGGGGGGGAGGGCATATTTCCCTCCTCGACTGCAGGAGGAGCCCTGCTGGTTGAGACCAGGACCCTCCTAGCCCAGCTTTCTGCACCCCCCACCCTGGGCCATCCGGCTGAGCACAGGACCCCACAGACAGGACGGGAATGCAATGGCACCCACCCACCCATGCTCCCCAGCAACTGGCACACATCAGCATGTGCATCTGATCCTGGACGTAGCACCATGTCATGAGGACTAGCAGCATGGACCTGTCTCCTCTTCTCCAGCTGGGTTCCATGACTCCATCCAGTGGAAGTGGCTTTGTGCCTGCCCTGTGGACAGGCGTCTCTCCGTGCATCTGCCCTGGGTCTCCCACCAGGCAGCTCCTTGTGGGTTGATCTCCAGAGCGTGGCCGATCCAGAGCTGGGCAGCGGGATATTGGCACCTTGGTTTTCGGCTCCCGTCTTAATTATGCCCAGGGTGGAATTTGCCCTTTTCCGCAGCAACCATGCGCCGTCGCCCCAAAGCGGAAGGGGGCACTGACCGTGTTTATCCGCTGCGTTGATGTCGGCCCCAAGATCCAGGAGTCGCCGGAGGCAGGACAGTCGCTCGGGCTCCTCGCTGGCCAGATCCAAAGGGCTGCTTTCATGGATCTAAGCAACAGGGGAGGACAAAGACAGGGGCACCGTGTGTGTTTCCTTTTAGGGCCGGCCTCTCCGAAGCTTTTAGTTCAGCATTTCCTGAACTTCTCCAGAAGGAGCCTAGGAGAGCTTTTCCAAAATGAAGTCAAGCATCTGGGACTCTGGTAGCTTTTGCTCCTATGGACAAGCATGGAAACAGCCCGCAAACGGGCTTCCGGCCTCGGGCTGGGAAAGGCGCAGTGCCCCAGCCAGGCCTGCCACGGACCTGGTGCGTGCCCAGAGCGGCTTCTGGAGGAGCAGCGGCGGCGGCGGCGGCGGCTGTGCTTCGCTGTTCCATCCCTGTCCTCTTGCCTGGCCTGGTGACGGAGGTGGCGAAGGCCCCCTCCAGCTGGCTCCTGGGGAAGGGGGCGCCAAGTGGGGGTGAGGGAGGGGCCCACAGGACACCCCAGCCCAAGAGTGCCCCAAACCAAGCTGGCCCCAGCCCTTCAGCGGGCGCATTTCTCTACCGCGCCCACAGTGGCCACTCACCCTGTCTCTCCGATTAATGTCTGCGCCTTGCCGCACCAGCAGCTCCACCATGTCCGGCTGGTTCCGCAGGACTGCGATGTGCAGAGCTGTGTAGTAAGTGACTGGATCTATTCGTTTTAAAGAATTGGAGTAATTACATCAGGGAAAATGTAATGCTTCACTTTTCCCTGTTGCGAGGATTAATATCCTGCACCTGGATATCAGGGAAAGCCTTGGCACAGATGACAAGAGGGAGAAAACTATTTAAAGTCATTTCACCCAGCTCCCCATGATCAATAAAACTAATCAAACCCTGCCTGCAGTCGTATGACCTGAAAGACACGACATGAAAGGAAAAGGGGAAGAGGAAGGAAGAGGAAAATGCTTACCACTATACACAGTGTCCCTGCAATACGGGAGCCAGCACGACAGGAAGCATCCTGCCACCCTCTTGCGCCCCATAGCCTTCAGGAGGGGTCAAAGGCCCTCACACAGACCATCAAGCCAGCCTCACCCTGAGGCAGCCATGTTGCTATGGAGACGGCCTATACGGAATCTGAGTGTGACATCACATGCCTGGAACATCTGTCTGGGGTTGTCCCATCTCTGTGGGAAAGAGGCAGAGGGCAGGAACAGTCCTGCACGAGCAGGCTTTTGAAATGGTGCTTTTATGTTTGCTTTATGTTTTAAGTTTTATTCAGCTGGATTTTATCCTTCGCTGCCACGGGCCCCAAGTTTCAGGGGTGGAGTGGTCTGGTTGGGAAATGGAGTCACCAGCCTGGGGGCAAGCGCTCTCCTTGGCGGGAAGGACCTCTGGCCTGCTTCTGAGCCAGCAATGGGGAGCAGGCCCGGGCAGACCTTAACCCCCACAACAGGCCACAGCTTGGGCACTTTCTAACAACTACCGTGCAAATCGTGCAATTTGTGTCCATTGGGAGTTGGAAGGCACCCATTCCCGTGTGTTTTGCTCTTGTTCCCTTCGCATCTTTTTAACATTCATGTGCAAACCTTGGTCCATCTTTGCAGGGGAAGTCATGAGCTGGCTTCACTCAGGAACGTTTTGCCACCGGGGCAAAGCTGGCGAGCCACAACCCAGGGGGCAAGCCCCGGCACTCGGACGGCTTTTCAGCCCCCGCGGGACTCCTCGTGCCCCCGTCCTCGCAGCTTCCGTGCACAGGGAAGGTGGCGCTGCAGCATCGCCAGGGAAACCAGCGTCACAGTGCAAGAAAAGCGGGCGCGTCCCCTTGGGCGGCAGAGGCGGTTTCTCCACCTGCCGGAACACCAGGGACGCTGCACCCGCCACTGCCCAGGAAAAGAGCAGAGTCCAGCTGCGGGGAACTGGGCCACCCCTCCTGCCAGAAACGACACCGGCAAGAAGGCAAACGACCCGGCTCTGGCTTTCTCCCCTCTTCCACTCCCGAGCCTGGTTCCTTTTGTGCCGTGCCTTTTAAACAGGGGGGCCTCATTCTGCATCTTTGTCAACTATTCGGGGAGAGCTCTTTTTTGGTGCAGGGGAGGATCTGAACAGCAGGGTAAAAATGCTGTAAAGGAAAGAAGAAAGAGTGACAGAAAGGTGGGAGCAGAGAAATGCACCTCCAAACCAAATCTGCTCCCCAACCCAGAAAACAAAGAATGCTGAAAGATCAAAATTAAAAAGGATGCGGCTCTTGCGTGCATTTGTCCTTCCTATTCCGGTCTTTGCTTTTTTTGCCACGCACGGTGCAGGCCCCTAGGCAGAAAAGCCCACCTTCGAAAATGATGTCTGCCCCGTGGCACAGGAGGGCTTCGGCCGCGTGGACCAGACCAAGTTCCGCCACCTTTAGCAAGGCGTAGCTCACGCCCTCCTGGTAGAACGGCGAGCGGGCCTCTCTCTCCAGAAGCTCATGGAGCACCAGAAGGCGGCAGTCATCTTTGGCCAGAAAGCTGGGACTTTAAAAATTAAAAAAAATAAATAAATGAAGAAGGTAGATTCTTGCTGCTTTTTTGCTCCCCCCCGCCCCCGCTGCCCCACTCCAGTGGCTTCTTGATGGCTTCCCTGACCCCATATCTGTCTTGAATGGACTTTCCCAGCCTTTTCCCCAACTTAGGAACATCGCTTAAAAGTTAAGCAAGATTCCGGTGTAGGAACTCCACAAATTCTGCTGAGCAGAGCTGTGTTGTTGAGCTATAGCTATGCCACCTAGAAACAAGGTAAGATTCTAGCCCTCATGGTCCTGATAAAGCAGCTGCTTTATTTTATTTTTACTTGGTTTCATATCCCACAATTTTTCCTCTCACAAGGAACCAAGGTGGCTTACACAATTCTCTTGCTCCTGTCTATTTTAACATCACAGCAAGCTGGTAAGGCAGGCCGGGCTGAGACCAAACAACTCAAAGGTTACCTCTCTAAAGTCTCCTGCCGCTCGGGATCTTGCAGGCCCAAGCAGCCCAAGATCTCGTCCACCAATGGCTGGTACTCGAAGATGATCCTACGGAAGCCGTGCAGAAAAGGCATCGTCCTCCCGGCAGAAGATCATCCAGAAAGAGCCTTCGGTCTCCTGGCCAGGTGCAAGTTTCCTCTGTGGCTGATCTGGAAGATAGAAAGGAAAGAAGGAATTTCACACATGTGCTCGGAAGGGCTTTTCTGCACGGAACAGTGGAGGGTGAGGGCTTGTTGACACTTGCACATTACAGCTAAAACTGCAGTTCAGAAAATCTAAATACCAAAAATAGCTTCTGATGATTATCAGGCAAGGAACCAGGTCATGTCCCCCTCCCACAAAAAAACCTCCCGACGCACGTGCCGCAGATGCCAAGGCAGTGCGGCAAAGGAGGGGCATCCCGGACCAGGCCGGGCTTCGGAAAACCCTTTGGGTGACACGCTGGATTCCCCCCCCCCACCAGATCCGGCACAGGCTGCACGGTGCCACTGGGCACAGCCGTGCCGACAGATGTCACAGCCGCCCCAGGCATGTCAACCTTTCTCCTCCCAGGGCCAGCTGGGCTCCAGGCTGGTAGCCCGAACATGGATTGTGGCCTCCCCAACTAAGCCTCAAAGCCTCCTGGGGCTCCTCTAGGGTGGGGGGTTGGGCCTGGCCTCCTTGAAGGAGCAGCCCCACAGAAAGAATCCCTGCCATTTAATTCTACTGGCTGAGGCATGCTGGGACTTTTAGTTGCAGATGGATGCATCCAATACCTCTTGTTGGTAAACCATCTGGAAAAAAAGAAATCGCTCAAGAAGTTCAAGATTCTAGTCCACATTAGGGAAAATGCCAACCAACATTAGTGGAAGCTATTAGGAGTGCAGAGAAAAGAGGAGGCAAGACAGATGTCCAAAATTACAGATGACACCCAAGTTAGTGCTACGCAGAGTAGACCCCGTGAAAGAAATGCGACTCGCACCATGCCCGCCCCGACTCTTCTTTGCCGCTGCAACGCAGCAAGGAAGGGGGCGGGCAGTCGCTCCCCAGGGAGGCCAAGCAGCGGCTGCCCAGGATCCGCAGGCAGGCACACTCCTGCGGCACACAGAACCATCCCCTGAGGAGGGGCCGCCTCGGAAGGGCCACCTGCTCCCTTCCTGGGGGGGGCGGGTGTCCGTGCAGCTGAGCTCCTTCCTCTCTCTCAGCCCCGGCGGTGGCCGGGAGGGCTCCGACCCGACCCGGCTGAGGCCGAGGTACTTCGTCGCGTCCCAAGAGACGCCGCAGACGGAGGTGAAACGCCAGGTGCTTATGCCTCCCCATGCTGGGGTTATGCACTCCAAATTTCCCTTTCAAAGCCTACCTGTGCCGGCCTGTCATTCGGGATGCTGGGAGCTGTAGTGGAACGTGGCCAGAATAAAATGCACATTCATTCCCTCATTTCCCCCACTGTTGTGCTGAATGTTCAGTGTAGGCTCCCTGGGCAGAGACCTTTTGGCGTCTTATTAAAAATGACCATCACACTCGGCACCCCTGATGTTAGCAGCAGCCCATCAAACGAAGCCCTTTGTTAACATCAAAGCAGCCCATCAGTTCCATTCCTGGACCCAAGCATTCCCCATTCTGGTCTCCCTCAGCTGTCTGACTACAAACCCCATCCTAACACTAGGGTTTCAAAGAGGGACAGGGGATCAAATCTGGGGACTCTGCAGTCAGAGCTACCGTGAATTGCACCTGTCTCTGTCCTTACAGGGAAAAGCAATACATCTAGCCAGCTTGGATCAAAGGCTTTAAAAGAACACAAGGCATTTAAATTCATTAATGCTGCGGGTGCGTACCTGGGACGTGGCAGGTTGGGACTTTGGGAAATCGCTCCGGGCACCACCACAAAACGCCTAGTGGGTGGATCACTGCTTCAGCCTCGGCCCCTCATGCCCACGGATCTCTGATGGCATCTTATTCAAAGAAACCTTTTGCGGTGCGTTCTCTGGGACGCCACCACAACCCTTTAACAGTGGGTGGTCCAATTCGTCCAATGGCTGGGAATCCTATAATTCCCGGGATTTCACAGCTAGCATGGGACTGCCGAAGCTGTCGGGCTTTTCCTCCCTGTCTGAACATGCACAGGATCACGCCTAATGGGTCAGCTCCGAATTACGAGTCATTTTCTCGGAGCTGTTCTTGATGTGTCCACTCGAAACAAAACAAACCGGAGGCTTGCATCTCTCCCAGTCAGTGACGGCCGCGGAGACGAGGACGAGGCAGAACGGGACACTCGGGCAGCGAACTGGCAATTCCCACTTGGGCCAGGGAAGCCCCGCGCGCAGCCCCGCCACCTCCAGCAGCAGCAGCAGCCGCAGCGGCGGCGGGCCCTCCCCGCCGCCCCCGGCCGCCCCCCCCCGCGCCGCGCCGCCTGCGAGCGTCAAACCGGCGGAGACCAATTCCCCCCGCCCCGGCCATGCGGGGTCGCGCGCCCGACGGCCTCCGCCCCCGCCCCCGCCTCCTTCCTGCTGGAGTCTCACCCGCCGCCTCGCAACCAGAAAGCGCCGCCGCCGACACAGCTTCGCCCACCTGCATCCTCCCGCCCGGCCTCAGGAAGCGGAAGCGGCGGCGGCGCCCCGCCGGGCCCGCGCGGTCAGGAGCCGCGGCGAGGCGCCTCCCGCTTCCCCGTGCCCGCGGCGCGCCTCCCCTGCCCTCTGCAGGCCGGAGGCTGCCTCGGGCCGGCCGGCCGGCGAGCCGCGCCGCGGGGCTCGAGGAGCCGCAAGAGGGCGAGCTTCCCCCGGGAAAAGCCACCCGGCGCGGCGCCTCCCGCCGCCCCCTTCCCCGCGCGGGAAACGCCGTCCTTGCGCGGTGTGCGTTTCCATTGCGCTCTCGCGGCTGTTTTGGGCGCGGAAGGGCTGCGGGAAGGTCCGTTGCCTATGCCGGGGGGGGGGGGCTGAACCCCCGGGAACTAAATCTGGCCCACCAAGGAGAGGGGTGCAGTTCTGGCTCTCCGGTACCCCAGAAAACCATGCCCAGTTCCCGTCGCTTCGTCCCACGACCACGGGTCGTTTGGAAACTTCCTGGATTTTGTGGGCTTTTCCTCATTTTTAAGGGTGCGCTCCGAGCATGTTCAAACCGAAAGCAGTCCAATAAATCCCCAGATTCCCCTGCAGGGAGGTGGACTTAGGGACGCTGCGGTCAGGACATGCATCGGACTGCGCCCCAAGAGGAACGCCTGGTAACGGCTGTAAGAGCTTTAGGCGTACCTTGGAATAAATATTACTGAACTCCGTGGGACTTCCGCCCGAGTGGCGTTTCCTTTTTTGAAGCGGGCAGTCCTCAGCGCCAGTCCAGCACTGAGCTTCCATGGCATGCGAGGAAAGAGTGGTGGGGAGGGAAGAGGGGGGAAATATCCGCCAAGGCTGGTAAAACAGCCTTGCCTCCTCCTCTCATCTTCCTCAGCACAGTTACTGCTGTGGACAAGCTGCAGAATGAGGAGGCTTCGGCAAGGGCTGGTGGAAAATCCCCCCAGCGTACTTTCCTGGCGGCCACCGAGGGTCTTGATCTCCTCCTCCCACCTGGCCTTCTGTCTGGCTCCAAGAAAATCTACCTGGTTTGTAAGTTCTGCAAATTAGAACAACACCCATATCCCCCGTGTGGATGAGGATCAGGCCTTGGAATTGCCGTGGCTTTTTTGTGACTGCAAACACAATTCGATTGAAAAAGTTGCCATTTACCTTTGGGGACTGCTAATATAAGCCCCCAGTTTGGACTCTTATCTTGAGAATTAAGCTGCCCTTTGACATGTCCTGGATTACTTGTTCTTTTTAAAGACCTCATTTATTATCAGGTTCCATCTGTTTCCAATTTATAATCCATCCCTTCTCGTTTGAGTTGCCTTTATTACTTTCTCCTCTTCCAGGCCTCCTTCCTCATCTAGCCCCAAAACTTTGTTTCCTCCTGCCAGGATGCCCTCAAATTTTGCCAGGTTTCCTGTTCAGAATGCTTTGCTTGTTTTGAAAAAAAGGCCTCTGGTGCTGTCCTGGCCAGAGTTCACCAAGGGAAAAAAGGCCCCAGGACATCCAGCGAATGGGCACGACCCAGCTCAAGTCAAGCATTTCTGAATCTTATTGATGAAATGGGTGGTTCTTGGATGCAGTGCCGGGGACGCCTCTTTCGGCACCTGCCGGCTCTGTCCTGCTCCTGGTTTTTGTTCCTAGATTATCATGTTTATCCATTTCCGTTCGACGGCTCGCATCCTGCAAAGCAAAGGGCCACCAAAGTACATCATTATTTAGGTTTCAAAGCCAAGCAGTGGCTTTTGCCTGTCCGAGCTCAGACCCTTCCTCTCTGTCTTGGACTTCAGTTCTTGGGCACATGGTGACATGGAAAATTTGGATGTGGCCGTTTCTGGCCCCTGTGGCTGCCTCCCTGCCCCCAGAAAGTCCAGAAATGCCTGTGGCTGCATTGACCTAGAAGGAAGCAGTCGAGGGGGAGCCGCTTGCTGCGAAGCAGGGCCCCCTTCCATCCCTTTTCTCTGCTTCTGGCTGCTAAACTTGCTTTCATTTTGTGTGTATACATATGTGTGTGTGCATGTGAGCACATGCATTTACTATAGTGTTCTTTTAGGGTTTTAATTTTCGAAAACCAGTTGAAGAGCTTTGGCTGCCGGACGGGACAGAAATATGATACATGGCACTCAGTGGACTGAGGTGTATCAAAAGCAAGCCGAGTCATCCACGTCCCCTGCCAGGGGGCAGAAGGCAGCTGACATGCTGAGGGGCGAGGGGTCGTCCTCCACAGAGGACCTGGCCAGGAGCTAATCCAGGAGTGCAGTAAGCAAGCGATGGGGGGCGGGGGGGGGAGAGGAGGATCAGCGCCTCAGGAGTTAGCCACTTCAAGTGCCATTTCCAGGAGGGCCAAAAAAGGGGGGCGTAAAGAAGTCGAATGTGACATGTCTCCCAAATGCCCCCAAAGGTGAGTGCGCACGTGTCCACCGCAGCAGCCCGCGACGGCGCATGTGCCACGAGACCCGGCAGGTGCCAACGCGCGCGCGCCCCCGGCCCCCCAGCGCGGGCTGGGCCGGGTGCCGCCCCCCCCCCGGCCCCCGCGCCCGCCCCCTGCGATCGCAGGAGCCTTGCTGGCTGGCGGGCAGGCCGCTGGCCGGGGGAGCCGCCCAAGCCCCGCGCCCCCCTTCCGCCCATCTGGCGAGTCCCCGGCCGTTCGTAAAAATAGCAGTGCTCAAAATGCTTTCGTTACTGGCCCCTAAATGCGCGACCTTTCACATTGGGCCGCCGACTCTC